AAGGTTTCAGGTGGATTTTTGAAGTACACCTTACCTACAATGTACGATTGACACCCGTATAAACCTTTTCTACCTTATATAAACCTTCTCCTTTGAAGAATATGATCAATGCACCTTATATAAACCTTTTCCTTTGAAGAAAGTAATTATTGCATTGATCGATCGGTCCTTCGCAACTGCAGCACTATAAGGTCAAATACAAATGAAGAGAGAGAGTGGGATTCTGTTCCGGTTACGCTGATAGCAATCCATTAGGTTCTTGCATTGGAATTAAATACTCATTTGGAGCTATAATCTTTGAAGATGTCAATCAATTGAGGCCAATTGCTTTGTACTATCAATTGCTTTTCCTTCAATGAAATTATAATGTACAGAAATGAATGTAAAAGAACGGAAAAAAAAAAAAAGAGGAAAAGATTTACATCTTCTAAGCTCCCCCTACGATCAGCTCACCAATTTAGCAATACAGCAGAAGAGTTACCCAGCATCCCCAACCCCAAAAAAGAGGACCAAAAGGAAAAGAAAAGAAAAACCAATACAACCAATAACCAGACATCCCTCCTGTAAAATGTAAACAAAAGAAAGAAAAAGATAATAAAAACAAAAAAATAGAGCATTCTCTCAAATCAATGCCCTTTGAATTCCCCCACCTAACCTGATGCAACCAGTGTAGCATTTGCCATAAGAAAATCACGATCTTCAGGGGGAGGCTTTATGTACTTCCCTAGTGTCCTTTGGTGAGTGCGACCCCTAATTCGACGCTGCTTGTCCTTGCTCCTCCTCTTCCTCTCTGCCTTCTCCTTTTGTCTATGGTTTCGCTCCCTCTCATACACCCCTTGCCAATAAACCTCTCCTGTTTGGGGCCAAAGCCACCGCCTATCTAGTTGGTTGTCAAAGTCCGACTCCTCGGCCAAGTCCTCGTCCATGCTCTTGAGGAGAGGGTAAGAGAACCACTTCACCCACATATGCCCTCCCCTCCGACCTTTGAGCCTGTGGTGCTCATGCATGGCCCCTGTTTGAGGGCTTATGTACACGATGCGCCTCGCACTGTGGTATGCCCACACGTTCACGAGCAACTCCATCACCCGCGAGTAGCAATGCCGGTCCTGTCAGCCCAACAATCGGTGCAAACCGGAATGGACGGATTTGAAGCCAAAAGAAAAAGTAGAGGGAACAGAGAAATGTATCAAGGTCCAGCGGATTATGAGCATATGATAATCCAAGGCTACACCCACCATCCATTCGATGATATAGAGGGGCATTCACCTGGGTAGGATTAAGCTCCAATCTTCAATTACTGGCAATGGATGCTGGATGGAGCTCGGTGTTACCACGTATCATATTCCATTGGTTTAAGGTATATACTTTTCAAGAAATTGTCGGATAGTCCATTCAACACCAGAGATGTATCCTCTTGTTCAATGAGAGTAATTTTAGAATGATCAAGATCACTATTCAATAAGAATCGGAAAAAAATATGGGCATATTTCATCATATAAAAAAAAGCCAGAGGCCCGCTAATTTTGTTTGATTTATGTAGGTTAATGCATAATAGTCTGATGGATAACTGAAATGCTAGACAATGTTTGCACTGGAACAGGAGGTTCGGCCAAGAGCAGTAGAAAATAAGTGGCAAGAAAAATGCAAGGTGCCTTGATACATGCTTGACCAGCACGTACCTACTACAAATTATCATTGAAATTACAGAAATATGTTAATCAAGAGAGGCCAATATTATTGTGGGTTCATTGAAGAACTGGAGTCAAAAATCACATCAAGAATTGGAACTCAGATTTTCATGAAATCCAAATATCCAATTCTCAGTTTTGAATTTTACAAAATACTATGAAAAGTAATTTTTGATGACGCTGATTTATTAAAGTTTTGTTCATATTACTAATAATTGGTTTTCTTTCAACCCTCACAAAACAAAAAGACCAAAAAGTGAAACACATAATATTTGGATATAAAACTAAATGAAATTTGACCATATTTTTGCTCCATGCATATACTTAATTTGCTAATTTTATAAATAGCAGCCGCTCCAAGCACAGTAAAGAACAGAAACACAAACAGATTTGATTGCAAGACTTCCTGGTTTACAAGCAATGATAAGGGAGAAAAAAGTACCTTCGACAAGCTCAAATAACATTCGCCAGTTCTTCGGTGCTGGTCATATAATCGTGCATCCAATGCATCGACAAACATTCTGTGATAAAATTATACAAATATAATGAAGTAAGAAATTGCGCCATGTGCCTTATGTCACAAGTATGGAATTCAAACCAGCAAAAATGCGCGCGCGCACACATGCATTTATAGCTATCCCCAACAGCACAAAAGGAACCCACACTGTTCACTTAGTGATAAACAAGAGAAAAAAATAGACAAGTGAAAAATATTAAATCTTGCAAACCAGAACCTTGTAAGTAAAGCAGAAGCTTGATTGAAAGAGAAACATTTTGTGTCTAACTTTGAGAGTCAACATAGGAAAACATAACTTTCAAGTTACAAGTATCAATTTAGGAAATGAAAGCTAAGCATATCATGAAGTCTAACCTTTCAAATGGAAAAGTTTGAACCATAGTTGTTGGGATCAGAAGCGAGACCAGAAGCAGGATTGGAATCGGGAGTGGGAGAATGTGAAATGCTAGAAGATTCCTATGGTTGGGACCAACATCCATACAATACATAGGTTAGGGGTCTTGATCCCCAATGATCGAGATCCCGACCTTTAGGGGGATCTTGCTCCAAACCTTAAAGAGTATGTATATGCTGGAACTATATATGCTATTTAAAGTAGGGATCTCTTCAGTTATAGCCCAGCAAGCAATGCAACTATATCAAAAGTATAGTTGTCTTGCTACCAAGCTATAAACTAAGATCATCAGTTTGACTGTTATCTTGGTTTTTAAGGTTGTGATCACGATCCCTAACAATAGGATTCAGGATCCGTACAATGGAGATCAAGATAACAAAATTTAAAAAATCAAGGCCTTTAATATTTGTTTCCTGGAGCGAAATTTCGAAGCAAGATCGCCACCTATATTCAGGGATTCTAGCAACTACAGTTTGACCTCATCCATTGAAGATTTTAAGCACAAACGAATATTGCACAAAGGCATGTAATAAATCATCATCATCAAAGCCTTATCCCAACTAATTGGGATCGACTACACAAATTATGTTCTGTCATTCTGCTCTTAATGTAGATTAAGGATTAATGATAAAATATATGGTAAAGTTTTATACTGGCTGCCTACCCAACGCAACCCACCTCCTTACTCAAGGTTGGGACGGCTTAAGGGAAAGTTTAATGTCCTCACCCTGATTAGACCAAAATAAACACGAAGTAATATATCCATGAGCATGAAACACTCAAGAACATCCATTTCTACATGCACATGCAAGCATGTATTGTGACGCACTAAATATGGCTCATGAATATACACATGTACATACCTAGAGAACATGACAAGCTCAAGAAAAGATCTTGTTGGCAATGCCCAACTATGCATGACGGACCATGAATACCCATCAGCCGGCATTGGCGGCAAAGAGTTCCAATCTTCCTGCAAGCCATAAATCCTTCGGAATGCCTCTTTAAATGCAAACCTTGAAAATTGCAAGTTCAACGTAGATCAGAAAATTGGATGAAGATAGAAAAAGAAATGAAAATGTTGCAGTGGCATCAAAATTCTTTCTCGTATGATATAAAGGTGCAATGAAAGTCAAGATATTCATATATGCGCATACATCTATGGATCTCTAGCATCCATTTTAACGCTTCGAAGGATCACAGCTGAGACATTACACTTGATGGGGATAAAGTGGGGATAGAGGGAATTAGTGAGGAGTAAGTTCCTTGAGTAAAAAGGGGCCCTGGGGTCGGGGTGAGGGGTGAGAGAGAGAGAGAGAGATAATGTGGAAAAAGGAAAAGCGAAACTACGAGACGTAAAGAAGAGAAAAGAATGATAATTTAAGATTAGGTTAGATTTGGAAATAAACAAAAATGTACAATAAAAATGTGAGGAAGGAGAATTGAAGAAAAGAAATATGCTAGAAAAATGAAGAGAAAAAAGATATAATACATAACAATGACAGAAGGTATACAAAAGAAGAAGAATAAAGAGAAGAATGACGAGAAAAAAAGAAAAATAGCGAAGACATACAGATATGGGTTCAGTTTAGAATAAGACAGCGTACAAAGAAAGAAAAGGAGTCGCAATGGAAGAAGAGAAGAACTATGATAAAAAAAGCATGGGGAAAAAATATGATATAAAAAAGGGAAAAAAGAGACAAATACCACACGAAAGGGAAAAAGGAGAAGAGTGAACAAGTCACTAAGGTGGCAAAGAGATGAAGAAATAAGGTAGGTACGTTATGGTTACTATGAAATAAGACCAAAAAACATTATCTAATAAACTTAGAAGTTTATTAAATAGCATTCTCAATAAACTAGCCAAAATATGAACGACAAAACTAATAAACTTTTCGGTGAAAAATACCTGCAGTTGCCAGCATTTATAGAGTCACAGAAAGACCAAAAATCTAGTTGCAAGGGATTTCTTGGATCCTCATCCATACGGGCCCAAAAAAATAGAGCATCACCGTACCTGTGAGCTTCTATGGCCCCTACTAACGCACCTTCAGCAATAGCAGACAAGGAACTCTGTTTAAGAAAACATCTATGCATCAGTAGCAAGAAAAATAGCATGTGTGCCTCATACTCAACAGAAAGTAGTACATTGAAACTGGGTGATACACCCTTTCTTAGTTTTTTAATGAGTTGATCATTTGTCCAAATTTTGTGGCATATGAAAAATTGGAAATCTGTTATTTATTGTTTTATTTCCAACCAACTGCTTACATCAATTCTCTTAAGTCAATGGCAGCAATTTATTCTTAAATTTGGCCCAATTGTATTATTCTTCTGGGGATTTTCTGGTGAAGGATAGAAAGCTCTATGAAATTGAGATACCTTATGGTATCAAATTATCAATGCGTCAGGTAGGACCACTTATTGATATCCTTGGACATTTCTCATATTTGTAGTTATGTCCCTAACTATTGGGGCATTTTAGTCCTCACTGCTTCTTTACAACATGAGTGAAGGGAACCTTTTTATGATATTCTCTAGCTGAAGGAATATTGGGAGCGGCCTGTCGTACAGGACTACAGGTCCTGCAAATATATTTTTCAACAACAAACTCAATCTAATCATCAAATGTCGCTGAAAATCAAGATAAAATGTTCTTTTTCCAGAAGCTACACACAATGCTGCACCCCTATGCTGGACTTGGTGTGTCTTTTTGAGCTTACTCACTCAAGAATAACGGAACTCCGATCAAATTCTTGCAAGTCTTCTATAAACATGGGCGAGTCTTTCCAGAAGTAGGTATGCTCGCACTTAACTCAATTGAAAAATGACAACTGCCCAAGCCGACTTCCCAGGAGAGTCCCAAACTTAAAAAACGGTTCCGAGCCCAATCTATAGGCTTAACGAGGTGCAAAGTATGGTTTTTTCACTTCAACTCCTTGCATGCAGTCGGTTTCCTATGAAGAAGGATTGATTCATCTACATTTTGTTCATGACTCCAGTGTTGGTTATCTTATCCTTCTCAAATTGAATCCAATTCTTGTCATGGGCAATCATCGGCTACTTAATAATGTCCATCAGCAGCTCAGAACTACTATGAGATACATGATGATGGGACACTTCACTATTCCTAAGTATTGAAGCAGCTATTATCAGTTACGGTTCATTCTTCCAAACCAACTACATCATGGATTTATTATCTTGTGAACATATGTAAGAAAACTACAGGCAACTTGAGCTTAATCTCATGCACCTAAATGTAAATGACACTCTTTCAAGGATCCTTCTTTCTGCAGAATTGCACGTGTTGTCATATATGACTCTTCTTTTTTATAAATCTCTCGTATTTGATCAAATCATCATCATCATCATCAGAGCTTTTTCCCAACTATTTGGGGTCGGCTACATGAATCTTAGTCCGCCATTCTTCTCTATCAAAAGCAGATAACATCGATTCAGGATTCATGGAAAACTTTGGTAAAGGTTTACGTTGGCTGCCTACTAGATCTACAATTGATGATGATCTGATGAAACCAACAAATTTATGTATAAGCCCACTAGATCTAGAATTGACATCTATGCATGTTTTCTTCAATGCACCAAAGGCATGATTGCTCAAAGGCATGATTACAAGTTTATTTCTATGTTGACTTGGCAGGTTGTCCTGATGATAGATGCCCCACAGCCTGATATTATTACGCGTGCTAATTTGGCCTCATTGAATGCTTATTTACTTATCTCAATCAATTACTGTGATAAGCTACTTACATCTTCAAGAAACTTATTTTCTAGAAAAAAGTACAATGAGATACATTAGGAGTTTGACAAGATTTTTCAAGGGAAGTTTTCTTTCTTTTTTTTTTTTTTTTTTTTTTTTGTTGTGGAGGGAAGGGGTTGGGTTTAGAGGTGGTTAGCCTAGGTAAAGCATATGCAGTAAGGATAGGTGCATGCTAGGACATGTGATTTCAATGGAAACTGGTATGAATGGTGCAGACTTCAGAGTTCAGTAGGACAGTCTGATTTACAATAGCGCATCACTGAAGGGATACAAGGGGTTTTGATGTTTTATGTAGCAACAAGGGGTTTTGCCGTGTCTTTTAGGGACTGAAGAGGATGCTGATGGATCCAAATATTACGGTTGCACTAGTGTTTAATGCAGGGAGGATAGAGCATTGCAGTGTCCACACTCAAAGAAAGATCCTGACCATGGGAGAACGGCTATTTGGTTCCTAGTCAATGCGATCGGGGACTTGATATGCAATGTATACAACTCATTCCGCTTGTGCTCGGGCAATAGGGTTGCCTATGCAGGATATCATTATTAACAGGTTATGGGGCTCCTTTTACCCTGTAAATTTGCTCTAGAATCGGCTATCGAACTAGAGCTGGGTCCACAAGGTCAACAACTGGTTCTAGGGCTTGATCAATCAAATAAACTACGGCGCCGGATCTCCAACAGGTAACGCAATTGGACAGGATAGTGGCTCTCAAATTGGCTATGCATCTCAATTTGCAAAAGGGGGATATGAAACTGGATTCGGAATTGTGCCATATTTGCTTTTGTCCCCGTTGCCTCTGATAGCTATGCCCCCGCCTCAGTTTCTGTCTGTCACTTGTTTCTCTGCTTCCTGGTGTCAATCTCCAACGGGGACCTCCTTATTAAACTTGATTTGTGCCCCTCTGGTGCTCCTGGATCTGGAACATGCTCCGGCTCCAACAATGCAATGGGTAAGGATGCCTAGCAGAGTCATGGTGAATATGATGCCAGCTATGAGACTGCAGGTTCATCTGGTTATGGTTAAATGGATGGAACTGAAGGGTCTGCTTCCAGCTCTTGACCTCTAACTCCAGACTATGGCTTTCGAATCACCTTTACTTAGCCTAGATGCCTGCCCCGATGCCTCCTTTGCTATGTATGCGTCGGGTTCCAGGTCCGCTTCAATAGGTCCATCAATGTTGGGACTGGATTTGGCTGCAGCTGGCTGCTTTGATGCTAGGCGCCAGTGTTGTTAGTGAGACTAGAGAAACTTGGTCAACTATAGGTGCGACTTCGTGCTCTGTTGTCTCCATCTCTTTGACTGGCTGGAGAACCACAACTAACTATTTGAATGAGCCAACAACAATTAATTATGCCTCTCCTCCTGCCTCTGTAGCCAACTCCACTCCTGACTCCGCTACCGGAGAAGATTTTGTCCCCGTGTCATTTGGTTCCACAGGTGATGCCTTTCCTTCCATCAGTGCTGCTTCCTCTAATGCCTAAAGTGAGTGTCTTTGTTTTTACTGCTACCCTTTTTGGCTCGTCTTCCACTCTGCCATAAAGTCGATCTAGTGTTTCAAAAGCCCTAGGAGGGTCCTAGGAGGCCTGGGGGGTCCAGGCCGCCTAGCTCCTAGGCGGGCGCCCAGAACCAGGGCGGCCCAGTCGAATCCAAAACGGATGCCCATTTCAATAAAAAAATGATATATAGTATAACACATAAAAATTAGGTATTCAGGGCACTTACTTTGAGTTTGATTGCTCAATCTTCAAACTTCCACCTCAAAGATGCTTCTAAGCACTCAAAATCTTCTAAAAAACCCCCCAAGAGATTTATAAAACATCAAAAATTAAATCTAATATCAATGGGTGATGTTTTGATCAATTTTTGTCAACTTTGACAAACCCTTTGATCCTAAAGAAATCACCAAAAACTAGTTTTTTTATAGCCTTTCTCTGTCTAAAATGGGCTCCAATAAGTTTTAGGTTTCAAATGAACTTAAAACCATCTTTCTAACCCTTTCTATTTTAAAAAAAAATCAATACAAAAAAAAAAAAAATTCCGCCTCTAGGGGAGGCGCCCCACCTAGGCGAGTTCCATACCGCCTAGGCGGGGCGCAAACCCTGGGCGGCCGCCCTGGGCTGGGAGCTGGGCGCCCACCTAGACGAGTTCCATACCGCCTAGTCGGCTGCCCAGATTGACCGCCTAGGCCTGAGACTGCCTAGGCGCTGAGCGGTCTGCTTTTTGAATCACTGAGTGGATTAGAACATGGCTAGCATTCTAAATCTCAAACAGGGGAATGAATCGCAACCTAGATCTACTCTCATATTGATGACCCACAGCACCCCAGGTTCCTATGTTTACATAATGGCCTTTGAGTTCGTTTCAGACCTAAGGGGCTGGCTACCGGATATGAGTATGGATTGAGAGTTCATCCTACCTAGTAGATGTTTGCATTTGACCCCTACCCATACCTCTGCTACCTATGCTCCAACCATGATGGCGATTGGGCGCTAGCGATTTGGATTATGCTATTGGTGCTTCTACTGGGTAAACAAGTCCCCCGCCTTTGCTCTTCAATCCAGATGAACCACTTATGGCTTTGGCCCTGCCTCATACCTATGTTGTTGGTTCAACTAAACCTCAGACTTTTATATGAAGTGCAAGAGGTTTAACTTATATAGGCTTTGCCCCCACTTCTGCCCATATGGGGATCAACGGATTAGTTGTTATCTATTATTAAACAGCAAGAGGCACAAGCACGTCATGCCCAACAAACCCACCTCGCATTAGGTAGGGAGATCAATGAACAATGGGACTTATCAAGACTGACGGTGCAATCATTGTTCAAAAAAGCGGACCGCCCAGCGCCTAGGCGGTCCAGAAGGCATGGGCGCATCGCCCAAACCTAGGCGACCAAGCGGGGCGGCTGCTTGGGCAGTACAGAACCCACCTAGGCGGGCGCTTAGTGCCCAGCCCTGGGCCTGCGCCCCGCCTAGGGGCAAAAGTTCATTTTTTTTTTGTTGTATTGATTTTTTTTCAAATATAAAGGGTTTTAAGGATGGGTTTTAAGTTCATTTGAAACCTAAACCCATAAGAACCCATTTTAGAGATAAATAAACATCAAGAATACTAAATTTTGTGACTTTTATTGGATCAAAGTGTCTCTCAAAGTTACGAAAAACATATCCAAACATCACCCAAGTAGATTTGATTTAGTTTTGGAGCTTTATAATCCTATTGGAGGGTTTTTTTAATTATTTTAACACCAGAAAACATCTTAGAGGTGGCAGTTTGGAGTTCAAGCAATCAAAGTAA